CAGGATGTGATAGCACTGGAGAGGGTGCAGGGGGAGATTGACCAGGACAGACAGAGAGAGAAGGAGAGACAAAGAGACAGAATGAGAGACAGAGAGACAGAGAGAAAGGGAAAGACAGAGAGAGAGGGAGAGAGAGATACACAGAGAGAAAGAGAGAAACAGACAGACAGGAGTATAGGAAGGCAAAAAGAGAGAGAGTAGGAGAGAAAGACAGAGGTGGATAGGGACGCAGAAAGAGAAAGAGCAAGAAAGAAGGGAAAGGAAAAAGACAGTGAGAAAGACAGAGGGTCTCCTTACGGGCAGGGTGAATTTGAGAGGATTCTTTATCAGGTCTATGATGAACGGATGCCTCAGTAAAATCTGAAATGGAACAGGTTCAAAGTTCTTTGATCCCAAATCTTTGTACACCTGAGTTAAATGCTGCAAGAGAGAAGAAAAGTGTAAGAGTGAGTGTTTTGTTTAGATTTGACAAGAGAACATCACAACCAGCAAATCCAAGGGTACCTTGTTATCCATTGGGGTTTGGAGAGCTGATAGTGACTGGACATGGCAGTGTCTCTGCACAGGCAGGACAGGCCACTGGCCCAGGACAACCCCCAGTGAGCTGACTAACACCAGCATTCACAAAACAATGTCTGGACCTGGGAACATAGAAACTAGCAGCAGCAGTAGATCATTCGGCCCTTCAAACCAGCTGCACCATTCAATATGGGCATAGCTGATCCTCGATCTCAATGTCATATTCCTGCTTACTCCCGACATATTTTTTACATTTTAAAGGTATCATTCAACTGTTTCTGACCCACTGACCAACAGCAGAACTCACAATCACAGGATTACTAATGTACACAAGGGATCACTCAGTGATAAATGAGCATTATTACTCAGTACCAAGCTCCTGCTCTTTCCTGTTTGCTTGCCTGTGGGACGGCCTCGATTGGACCTGTCAGTAACACATTTCTGGGCAGTACACTCTAACCTGAACTAACTGCTGAATAAAAACGCATTTTTTTTCACATCATGTTTGCTCTCTTGGCAAACTACTTTCCATCAATGTCCTCTCATTCTTATTTATTTTACCAGCAGAAACAGATCCTCTTTATAATAATGGAACCATTCTTGTGAATCGCCCCCACAATCTCTCCAAACCAATCACATCTTTCCTATAACGTCAAACCCACAATCCTCCAACTGGGGGTCTAACAAGTGTCTTGTACAAGTTCAGCATCACCTCCTTGCTCTTGTACTCTTATGCCCCCATTAATAAAGCTGAGGATACTGTGTACTTTATTAACAGCTCTCTCCATGTGTCCTTTCTGTTACCTCTTCAAAAAATTCTAGCAAGTTCATTAAATGCAGTTTTCCCTCTAGAAATCTGTGCTGATTCTTCCCAATCATCCCCACCTTTTCCATCAGTGACTACTGATTCTATCCTGAATAATTGCTTTGAGAAGTTCCCCTACAGCTGAGATTACTGGGATTATTTTTAAAACCTTTTTTGAAAAAAGCTGCATTTTTTTTTTGCAAATTTCAAATCTTCCAGCACCTCCTTGAGTCTAGGGAAGACTAAATGATTATGTGCAGTGCCCCCACAATTTCTACTCTTCCTTCCTTCAGAATCCTTGGTTACATCTCATCTGGTCCCAGTGCCTTGTCAATTTTGAGGCTCACTGACCAATGCATTGGCCAATCGCTGAACTCAGTGACGAATCACAAGACTCACTGACAAATCACAAGGTTCAGCAACCAATCACAGGACTCTGCGACCAATCACAGGACTCTGCGACCAATCACCGGGTTCAGTGACCAATCACCGGGTTCAGTGTGCACCACCTGTAGTGAGTTTCTGGTGGCTCCTTGCTACAGGAATGCAGGTTGTGTATCTGCAGTGTAACCTACCTTGCAGTAAAGCTGTTCAATTTCATATTTGTTACTGTGGCGATGAGTATCCTCACTCTTGGCAACCCCATGTGTTAGGATCTGAAACAGTGCGTATATTGGCACCATCTCGGCTGAAGGAGAAGTTTCATCAGAGGTGTTGAGAACAATTGGAGTCTCCCTTACAGACTGCCGATCAATGCATGGTTCAGACTGGATTAGAAGATTAAAATTGGATCATTGTTAAATTGGTCTCCACTTGTTAAAGTAAAGAACCTTCTATAAAATCCCCCATCAAACACCCTGAGGACAAGGGATAGCACAGGGTTAGACACAGAGTCAAACTCTCTGCACAGTTTGTCTCCCAGCTTTCCAAGTGCTCACCTTGAGTAGGGTGGAGTCTGAGTCTGGATTCCAGGTCAGGATTATTCCAGAAGCCAGGCTGAGCGATCGGTGGAATCCCTGGGCTGGGTCTCGGTGAGCTGCAAAGTACAGCAGCATGTTGTTATATTCCAGCTCTGGTGGCGACCGGCTCCCATCAGCAAACAGAGTGAAAAAAACCTAAGGCCAAACAGGCACTGTGTGACTGATCTGCACAGATAGAGACAACACCAACAGCTGTACTAGAAAGACAATACAGGCATTGGGAAGGGGTAGGGGCTATGATAAGGCTCAGGGAAACAGTGTCCGCTCAGTGGGTAG